GCAAAGTGCACCAATTGTGTGTATACTTTACTTCGACTATTTCAACCACTTCTATTACTCTTCCTTAACCCTTTTACCTCCCACCCCCATTTTTCAACAGCTTTCAATACACAGCCTTATATCCTAAACCTTCACATCTTATGTTATGCAATATTGCAAGTGCTGTATTATTCTCTTTTCCTTTCCCTCTTTCCCCAAGTTCCATAGAGTAGTTCCACTGTTACAAACATGTTCTATATCTGAGATTTTATATGATCATGCTTGTTTTTATGTATATGTTTATCTTTGGATCTGTCTTTCATATATGAGAGAAAACATGACTTTTGTGTTTCTGAGGCTGGCTTACTTCACTTAACATGATGTCCTCTGATTGCATCCATTTACCTTCAAACCACATGTCATTATTCCTTATGGCTGAGTAATACTCTGTTGTATATGTATACTACATTTTCTTGATTCATTCATCAGTTATAGGGAACCTGGGTTGTTTCCAAAGCTTGGCTATTGTGAATAGTGCTGCAATGAACAGTGTACAGGTGTCTGTTGTTTCCTGACTTACATTCCTTTGAGTAGCTACACAACAGCAGTATCATTGGATCATATGCAGTTCTATTTTTAACTTTTTGAGGAATCTCCCTACTGCTTTCTATAGTGGTTGTACTAACTTGCATTCCTGCCAACAGAGTATAAGGGTTCCTATTTCATCACATCCTTGCCAGCATTTGTTGTTGTTATTGCTCTTGAAATGGCCATTCTAGCTGGGATGAGATGAAATCTGAGTGTTGTTTTGATTTGCATCTCTTTTATGACCAGGGAAGTTGAACACTCTTCATGTATTTGCTGGCTATTTGTACCTCTTCCTTTGAGAATTCCCTGTTTAATTCATGTGTGCATTTCTTCATTGGAATGTCAATTCTTTGAGGGATGAGGTCTTGTGTTCCCTGTAGATTCTAGATATTAGCCCTTTATTGAATGTGTAGCTGGCAAAGATTTTCTCCCATTCCATAGGCTGTCTCTTGAGTCTGGTGACTGTTTCTTTGCTGTGCAGAAGCTCTTTAGTGTGATGAAGTCCCATTTATTCATTCTTTCTCTTAGACGCTAAGCCTTTTGAGTTCTGTTTAGGAAGTCATTTTCTATCTCTTTCGGGGTATTTCCTACTTATTCCTGGAGTTGTTTCAAAGTGTCAGGCTTTATATCAAGGTCTTTAATCCACTTTGAGTTGGTTTTGGTACAGGGTGAAAGACAGGGATCTACTTTCAGTCTTCTGCATATAGATATCCAGTTTTCCCAGCAACATTTGTTGAAGAAGCTGTCTTTTCTCCATTGTGTGTTTTGGGCTCTTTTGTCAAAGATGAGATGACTATAGAGGCATGGGTTTATGCTGGATATTCTATTCTGATCCATTGCTCTTCCTTTCTGTTTTTGTGCCAATACCATGCTCTTTTCATTGTTATGGCTCTGTAGTATCATTTGAAGTTGGGTATTGTGATAACTCCAGCACTGAAATTTTTGCACAGAATTGCTTTGGCTATTCAAAGTCTTTTGTGTTTCAATATGTATATCAAGATTGATTTTTTTTTATTTCTGTGTAGAATGTCATTGGAATTTTGATAGGGATAGCACTGAACATGCAGATTGCTTTTGGTAGTATGGCCATTTTCACAATGTTGATTCTACCAATCCATGAGCATGGAAGTTCTTTCCATCTTCCGATGTCTTATTCAGTTTCTCTCTTCAGTGCTTTATAGTTCTCATTAAAAAGGTATGTGGTGTCTTTTGTTAAATTTATTCAAGGTCCTTATTGTTTTTGAGGCTATTGTAAATGGGATTTTTCCCTGATGTCTTTCTCAGTCTGTTAGTTGTTGATATATAGGAAGTCTACTATATTTCTGTATGTTTGATTTTGTATCCTGCTACTTTACTGAAAAACTCTATGATTTCTAACAGTTTTTTGGTAGAGTGTTTAGGGTTTTAGGTATAGGATCATGTCATCTGCAAATAGGAATATTTTGACTTCTTCCTTCCCTATTCGAATCTATTTTATTTCTTGCTCTAAATGAAAATACAACCTACCAGATCTGTGGGACACAACAAAGGCTGTACAAAGGGGAAAGTTTATAGCTATAAGTGCCTACATTAAAAAACAGAGACCTCTAACACCCTAATAATGAACCTTAAAGTGCCTAGAAAAACAAGGAGAAACCAAACCCAAAAGAAGCAGGAGGAGAGAAATAATAAAGATCAGGGCTGACGTCAATGAGATTGAGACCTAAAAAACTATTCAAAGAATCAACAAAGCAAAAAGTTGGCTTTTTGAAAAGAGTAGCAAAATGAACAATCCTTAGCCAACATGCACAATAAAGGAGGAAAAAAAATTAATAAAATCAGATATGAAAAAGGGGACATAACCACAAATACTGACAAAATCCACAGAATCATTACAGAGTACTTTGAAAACTATATTCAAGTAAACTGGAAAATCTAGATGAAATGGACAAATTCCTAGATGCATATGAACAACCAAAACTGAACCAAGAAGATATTACCCACCTAAATAGTCTGATTACATGCAATGAATTTGAAGCAGTAATACAGAGTCTCCTTACAAACAAGAGCCCAGGACCTTGGCCAGATTTTACCAAAGCTTTAAAGAAGAACTAATACCAATACTCCTCAAAAATGTCCAGAAAATAGGTAGGGAAGGAACACTACCAAACTCATTCTATGAAGTCAGCATTACATTCATTCCAAAACCCAATAAAGATACAACTAGAAAAGAGAATTATAGGCAATATCTTCAATGAATACAGATGCAAAGATTCTCAACAAAATGCTGGCAAGCAGAATTCAACAACACATCAAAAAGATCCTACACCATGACCAAATTGGTTTCATTCCAGAGATGCAAGTGTGGTTCAACATAAGTAAATCCATAAGTAAAATACAGCATATAATCAGAAGAAAGGACAAAAACCACATGATCCTTTCAGTAGATGCAGAAAAAACCTTTGATGAAATCCAACACCTTTTCAAGATAAATGCTCTGAAGAAACTAGGAATAGAAGGAATGTTCCTTAACATAATAGAGGATATACACGACAACCCTAGAGTCAACATCATACTAAATGGAGAACAACTGAAACCATTCCCCTTAAAGTCAGGAACAACACAGGGCTGTCCACTTTCTCCACTCCTAATCAATATAGTTTTGGAATTCTTAGCCAGAGAAATAAGATATTTTGTTCTTTTTCTAATATTAAAGGGTGGGGAGTTTTTCCAGGTACTCATAAGAGAAACAGAGCCATGGGCATAATAAACAGTGCTTTCCTGACAATCTCCTTAGAAGACCATCTGTTTGGGGCAGGAGTTAAATTTGTGCTTGTTACAAGAGTTAATGTTTTAATGTTATTTAAACATTTCTAGCCAAGAGATATGAACAGTGAATTAGATTACAAGACCTTGGAGGGGAAAATGTTCTTTGTGTTTGGATTTTTAGATCCTGTCTTTTCCTCAGGTGCCTATAAATTTTATTATGCTACTAATTAACACACTTTCTCTCCCAGCAAGATGGCAGACTCAGTTGCTAACAACTTGGTATAATGCCCTTGCTAACAGAAGTTGCCTGCAAAGCTAGGACTTGTCATAGATCCTTTGTCAATAAAAAGACATATTGGGATTTGAGGGGCTGGGAGGGCTGAATTCCTCCACCTACAAAGCCTGTGGCATTGTCATTTCATGTGAAAAAAAAGAACATCCTGGGTCATTTCAATTTAGTTCCCAAAAAAGAAGAGGAATTGCATCTTCCACATCTTGAAAAATGCTTCTGTTTCATTCTCTCTCTTTTGTTTTCTTCTCCCTTCCTCCTGTAAGTTTATTTCATTTTATCTTTTGTTAGGGAGGACTAGAAATTAGATATCCTGGCAAACAGGAATCCCATTTAACAAAAAATTAAGTTCAGCGAGGTTTATTAATATTTATCAGCTAAGTGTTCTCAGAACTGAAATTAAACATTAAATTTAATATCATTAAATATAAACTAAATATATATTGTTTATATAATATAAATATATATTATTATATACATTATATATAACACAGTATATTATATAGTGGAAAATATATATAATATCTCATATAAAATACATGTTAAGTATAAAATTATGAAATTAATATTTGACCAATCAGAAGGTTCCACATTTGTAAAACTATTTCAAGGTGCAGCTGTTACAAAACTGTTCTGTAAGAACTTTCTCTAAACCAAGAAGTTCTTTTGCGAGTTAAACAAGTTTTCAGGAAGCTGAAACTAAAAGTTAAAATGAGGCCAGGTGTATTTGCATTTCCTTGTTCTGCTGAGAGATGATGTACTGTTTTCTAACTAAGAATGTACAAGTGATTATGTTCCAAGTGCATCATAATGAGAGGGATATGAATTTGGAGGGAGATAGAAGTACACACATAAGAAAGGTAGAAGAAAAACAAATAATAAACTCTCATATACCAACTAAAAATAAAAAGCTAATACCAGGTGGTATAAATGCAAAGAATTATAGAAAGAATCTTACACTGTTTAGTAACATGTAGGAAAATTCTTTTGTTGAGTCCTGTTGGATGCAATTCTGATGATTTTTTAAGTCTCTTGTAGAAGACATTTCAGATACCAGAAATGTATACCTCAAATCCTCCAGTTTTGTTTTGTTTTTGTGATTGACACATAACAATTGTACGCACTTCTGAGATACAATGGGATGTTTTGATTCCTAATATACATTGGGAAAATAAAATCACGATAATGAGCATTTACCTCACCTAAATTTTGATTTCTTCTTTACGGTGAATACATTCAAAATCAACTTTTTGAAGGGATTTTGAGATATACTATGTGTTATTGTTGGCTATATTCACCCTACCGTGCCTATACACAGTAGGACTTGTTCCTCTTATGTAGCGGTAACACTGTACCTGTTAACCAACCCCTCTTTCTTCCTCTCCTTTGCTCTCCTCAGTATGCAGTGAGACACATCTGGGCTACAATGTGTTTTGTAGCATTATTCACAATAGACCAGTGTATGGAATCAGTTACATATATAAATATATATATATGTAAACACAATGGAATGTTATGCAGCTATAGAAAAGGAGGAAAAAACGTAATTTGTGACAAGGTGTGGACATGAAGAAACTTATGTTAAATGAAATGTATGTTATATGTAAGATGACCAAAATGTAGTGCCTGACCAGCAAGTCAGCAGGAACATTTTTAAAGGTATGTTTACATTGAGTAAAATTCATTCTTTTGGTTTACATTTCCGTGAATCTTAAAAATGTATGTAATCATGAAATACCACCATACCCACCCAAGCTCTCCCATCCCCCTTGTAGACGTTCCCTTCCTCTTCCCCAGCTCTTGGCAATAAGTGACCAGTTTTCTGTCCTTATACTTTTGCTTTTCCAGAATGTCATAGAAATGGGATCCTGCAGTCAGTCCCTAGAGAGTCCAGGCTCCTTCACTTATTTACATGCTTTTGGGATTCTCCCATGGTGGAGCAATGTGTCTATGGTTTGCCAAACATCATCACACTTAGATTAAGGGAGACTTTATAAAAAAAAACAAAAAACAAAAAAACAAAACTATTGATGAAGGAATAATGTTTTCATTTTTTAAAATATGCAAGTCTTTCAAAATCAAGCCAAAAAATGCTTTTATCTCATAAAGAGGTTTAGAAAAGCTAGCAAAAACTTGTAGGTGTCAGGTGTGAGAGAAAGAGAGCACATGTCAGCAGTAGTTCTCTCTCAACAGGAAAACCGTTGCTCTTTTGTGGTCAGAGTCTCAACATAAGCTGCAAAGGGACTTCTTGGCACTTTATTACTCAGTGCTCAGGTAACATACAGGCAAGCCAGAGTTTAGGAGCCTTTGCAAAAGAAGTCTGACAAAAATTTCGCCGGTCAAAGCAGGGTGGGACATGACAAGTGGGAGCACATGGTCAGGGTTTTTCCTCACTTCCCCTAACTCTGAGTAGCATTGGCTTAGCTCATCGGCAGCTGAAGGATATTTGAATTGTTGCCAATTTTCACTTTTTTACAATAACCAATAAAGCAGCTACAAATATTCACAAATGGGTGTTCATAAGCTTTGTTTACCACTCTTATAATCACATAGTGATGCTAATTATATTTTAATTTTTCTAAAATGCCAGGTAATATTGATCATGCTTTGTGTATGTATCTATCAACCATTTATCTTCTTTAGTCAAGCATATATTCAAATCTTTGGCCCATTTTGAATCCAGTTTTGCTGTATCATTGAGTTTTTGAAATATGGATTCTTAAAAATATTCTAGATACAAATTCTTTATTAGATGTGTGTTGTGCAAAAAAAAAAAATCCTACTCCATTACTTATCTTTTATTACCTTTTCAGGAATGTTCCAGAGCAAAATATTTTAATTGTTAATACCCAGATTTATTAATTTTCTCTTACAGATAATGTTTTTGATATGGTGTCTATGTTATCTAAGAAATCTTTGCTTAAAACAAGTTCAAAACAATACTTCTTTTTTCATCAAATATTTTAATTATAAGCTTTATGCCTGAGTGAATGTCAATTTCTGTACAGGGTATGAGGTGTTAACATTCATGTTTTATAACCATTTGTTGAAAACATAATACCCTTTATCCACCTGATCACTGTCCACCTCCATCAAAGGCCTCTTTTTTGTAACTGGCATATAATAGTTGTAGAGGAGATACACTGTGATATTTACATACGTGCTTACAATATATCTTAGTTAGATTCACCCCCTCCATCTTTCTCGCTCAGCCCCCTTTCTCACTTGTTAGAACAATTTCAAAAAGTTTCATTCTTCCATTTTCATACATGAATATAAAATACATTCACCCTATTCACACTCATTCACCCTTTCCTTATGACCATACCTCTCACTGATGCCCACTCCCAGAAAAGACCTTCTTTACCCTCCTGTCCTTCATTTTACATCAAAGTCTCTTAACCACACGTTTGCATTTCTTTCCCTTTGGTGTATATGTCTACCCTTTCCCAATATCATATTATCTTTATTTCTGTTATTATATGTCATGAAATTAGAAGGTACAATTTCTCCAAATTTGGCCTTTTCTTTTTCAAAACTGTTTTGGCTATTCTACTTTTTTGACCTTTTCAAATAATTTGTAAATCACCTTGGAGATTTCTACAGAAAAAAAATCACACTTCAATATTTATCCAATATTTATCCAACCTGTACTGGATCTGTGAACTTGCTTAAAAAGAGTTGATACACTACAATACTGAACATTTCCCTCCATGATCATCTCTATTGACTTAGATCTTTTTTCCTTATGACTTTTGCCTCTAGTTGTCTTCATGTCAATTGTGAACATATTTGTGGTATAACTGTAAGTTTTGTGTATTAATTTCCATTTGATAATTGCTAGCATATTAAAAATACAATTACTTTTATATGTTAGTATTATATTCTGCAGAACAGTATCTGTAGCTTCTTCTAGCAAGTTTTTAGTAGGTTCCTTAGACTCTAATATGCCAATGATCATGTCTGTCAACAGGAATACTTTTATATCTTTCTAAGTTACTATATGACTGTTAGTTCCTTTTTTGCCTTATTGTTGGATAGCACCTCCAGTAAATGCCAAATTGGATGCAAGCAGGCAACCTAGCCTAGCCCCTGATCATTGGGGGAAAATAATTCATTCTTTTACCATTAAGAATGAAGCTGGCTATGATTTTTTATGTTATGTATTTAATTTTTTATACATGCATTTTCTCAGGTTGAAGAAGCTACTTCAATCCCTAACTTGTTTGAGAGCTATTGTTGGGGATTCATATTAAACTTTTTGCATGCTTTTGCTGCTTTTGAGGTGCTCCTATGTTTTTCCTTCTTTCATTCTGTTAATATGTTGAATTATGTTTGATTTATTTTCTGTGTTTCCTTCAGTGCTTCTAACCCGGTCTCTTATTAGGGAGATAAATGTGATCATTTTAATGTATCTTCTTCATCCTGATTTTCTCTGTATTTGTCTCTTGCTCTTTCATTAACTCTTCTCCCAATAACTCAAAGATTCCCTAAGGGGGAAAGTATGTTTCCTTTATTTCTAGCCATCTCTGGGCCATGGATATAATTTATGGACCAGGAAGTTTTGTGAAAGTGCTCTGCAGTAGTAGTGTACAAGCCAAGTATAGAGTTTATTCTGTGCTAAACTTGAGGGTTTTTTTCTTCATAAGAATTTTATGACATTGACACCCTGATATTTGTATTTTGCAGCTAAAGATCTCCAAGGAAAATTTCTAGAACTTACATCACCTGCAAGTCCTGTCAAAGTTTATTGCAGTGTTCTCCTCATTTCTTTCCTGCTTATGCTTGTAATTGGACTTTCTGTTGCTTTGTTGGGTAAGTTACTTACCTAACAGAATTGCACAGTGTTCTGGATACATTCATATTGTCAATAATATTTATTGGGTGTGACATGCTTCATATAAATCAGTAAATAAAACACACAGAAAATCCCTGGGAACATACATTCTAGCAGGAAGATGCAAGTAATGATAAATAAGGGTTGAGGTGGAGAAGGTTGCAGTTTACATAGGGTGGCCATGGTAAGCCAGCAGGGGAAGATGACATTTCAGTGACTTCTTCAGGAGACAAAGGAGCCATCTATCTCTCTGGGGAAACCTCCAGAGAGAGAACAAGAGATCAAAACCCTAAGGGGGAATTGTTTGAAGACACCAAAGAGGCTGCTATAGTTAAAAGAGAGTGAGGGTAGAAAAGAGTAATATGTTAGGAGGAGGAGCACCAATCTCCCATTATCTATGATGTCAGTTACCAATGTTCAACCATGGCTCAATAATATTAAGTATAAAATTCCAGAGGCAAACAGTTAGCATTTTTATTGTGATAAAATCTTGCATCACTCTGTCCTATTCTCCCTGGTCCAAGAATCATCCCTTTGTCCAGTATACCCACACTGTGTACACTACCTGCCCATAGTTACCCAGTAACTGTCTCAGTTATCAGATAGACTGTCATGGTATCCCCATAGGGTTTGTTTTCTACTAACCCTTCTTTTAGTTTACAATGGTCCCAAAGCATAAAAATAGCATGGTTGTTAGTTTGGATGCACCATAGACAAGCCATAAAGTGTGTCTTTTAAATAAAAAGTTGAAATGTGGTCATCAGTATGCATAGACGTATGGCTCAGTAGTTCACTAGGACATGTGACTTGAAGCATCTACTGGGGGACTAGGAACACACCCCCAATGGATAGGGAAAGGGGCAGATACTGTAATTGCCTTGCAGTTTATTTTAAAACTTCAGTTTTCATTTCAAGTGCAGCGGGAAGATTAGGAGAAAGAAAGATGAAAACTAGGAGGGTCATTGCTACAAAATGTTGAAATGTTGAGAAAGCCAAAATCCAAATACATACCTCAAAAACCTGGGCTCAGGATGCAGGATGGCAAGCAGAAAAAAGATAAAAGACATGGAAATTTTATTTCCTATAATTGATTATATTTTCTAAATTTTAGTGACAGAGCTGGTCACAGAGAACAGGATGTATCCTTCCTACCCAGGAAACTGGGTCGGACTTGGAAATAAGTGTTTCTATTTTTCTGAAGACACAAGTAATTGGACATTCAGCCAGACTTTCTGTGCCTCACTGGAAGCCAGTCTTGCTCAGTTTGCAAGCATGGAGGAATTGGTAAGAAATGTTTTGGGATCTTTTTTCCAGTTGAAATCTTAGCCCCTTATAGTGGCGAAGCTGTATGAGGTGAAAGTTGAAACATAATGAAGGATCCCATCCCAGGCAGAATTTGAGTGTGAAATGTATACTAGTCTTTTGTTTACACTATCTTCTCTGCCTACAACCCTGTGAGACCAGACACGTTCTGTCATGAAGTTTTGATAGTCCACCTAACAAGATTAGATGTGCTGTTTCCATACAATTTGTCATACAAATGATGTTATCATCATATTATTATATGTATATATATTTTATATGTATCATGTTGTATACTTGAAAGTGGGCACTATTAATAGTATTCCGAGATGACAGGCATAAACTGGTATAATCTTGGATACATGGTCACTTAAAATACTTTAGCAACATAGCCATCAAATGACTTCCCTGAGATTTGAGGACTACCCTGGCTCCAAAGTCTATGCTTCTCAGTTAACCATGCTGCCATCCCAAGAGACAAGACTATAGAACAGCGGACTCCAGAGCCATCTGAAAGAAAGACACTCACATTTCCAATTTCCATGTTTGATAACAGAAATTCCTGTTGCGATACAAAGGCTCTTCTGACCATTGGGTTGGCCTCAACAGGGAATCACCACATCACACTTGGAAATGGGCAGACAACAATGAATACAATGCCTCGTATGTTTTCAGGCTTCTTTTTCTTCTATGTCCATGTGTTGTTAAGTGTGTGAGTTGTGTTTTGAGATGAGAAAGGTAAGATTACAGAAAGTTTCCTGTACTAGAAAATAAGAAACATAAATCCTTGGGCTGGAGGGCAGCTTGCTGGTAGAATATGTGCTTAGCATGCGCAAGGCCCTTGACTCAACACCCACCCCCCCCAAATTCCACCCCAGACCCCCAAATTAAATCCTTTCATGCTCTTGGATTGATTATCTGTGTCTTAGGAAAACATTAGCTGTGAATTCATCTAGCATGATAAGTGATGAGGACTAGCCTAGTTTTGTCCTCTCATCCACTGATTTAAAACTTCCTTGCAGAAAATTACCTTATATAGAATGTAGGCAGAACCTTTGATACACCGAGAGGGTTCTGAAATCCCAAGGAAGCCCCTAAAGAACTGGAATCTGTAACACTTTGAAATCCCTTCTTGGCATTGCTGCACTTATTCATAAAAGCAGCGTCTCCAGAGAAACCTTAAGAATCACTCCTAAAGTTTTATCATCAACAGGAACCCAGTAACAGTGACTGGGCTGTGAACATTTCACTGGGGGAATTTTTAACTAAATCTTCCATTGGCAAGTTAAATGTAGGAACCCAATAACTTCCATCAATCAAAGCTAAGCTTTCTAAGAATTTACTAGTAAGATTTTCTTTGTTTTTAGCCACTGATGGCAGCAGCTCATTTGCATATGTCAGCATGCATGAGCTAAATACCTGTCAACAACATGGATGGGCTTGGTAGTGAGGGATGAGACACTTGTGATAGTCAAACAAAGACCCTGAGAACATAAAAAAAAACTATTTCTTGTTTGCACAAAAATATGGAGTGGAAGTGCTTTAGATTATAATGGAACAACACAAGTATGTACTCAAACTATAAATACTTAATAATTTTGTGTTTGGTGTTAGGTTTACCATCAGAGGATCTGGAGAATGTGCCTACCTGATAGAGAATGGAATCAGCAGTGCTGGTATCTACAAAAAAATGAAGTGGATTTGCAGCAAGCCATGCAGCTATATTCAAAAGTGTAAAATTACTTAATTCTTTTTAGAAAGCAGATATATTGTAACTTATTATATACAATTTCTGTTGCCACTGTTTGGGCTACCAAAATTTTTATTAAAATAAAGTCACAATGGAACATGCCTCAAGTGGTAGAGTGCTTATCTAGCAAGCACAAGGCCCTGAGTTCAAATCCAGTACTACCAAAAACAAAAAAAGAATTACTAAAACGTAGCAGACCATCTTACAGGGTTATATTATAACAAAGAAATTGAATTATACTTCTATGATCAGATATAAAACTTTTCTTAGTCAGTTTTTGCTTTGAATGCATGAGACTGTGAAAATGAATAGCTACTGAAATTATGCTTATGATTGTAACAATTGACAAGATTATATACTTGATCTAAGAACTTAAAACTTTTAACCATTCAAAATCTTTAAAAAAATTCAATTCCCAAAATAAAGAGAAATTTCAAAGGTACCAAAATGAATATTCTTTTTATGCTGTGAAATTTAAAACATTAGTAAGGTGGACAGAAGACATCACACTTCAGTTCTCATGTTTATGTTTTCAATTATAGTGTACTAAGTTTACATTAAATGTATAAAGTAATATCATTTTAATTTTACCCTTTATTGGATTTAAAATCTTGCTTATATTTCACATCTAGTGATAGTTACTTGAACTCTTTAAGCATTTGATAGCTAATCTCACAACAATTTATGTTTTTGAGTTTTGAAAACAAAATATTTAAAATTTTTATAGCATTAGCTACAATGTACTGATGAGTCCCAATAAGGATGAAATAACAAGTTACAATGTATCTCTTTCCCCGGGAGCATACATCTGTCCTAATTTGAGTATATAGATATTCATTTCTGCTTTTATGAGCTTGTCCACTATTTGAAAATATAGTAATTTGTATATAATTAACTTTATGTTTTTGTTAGTAGGTAAATATGTAAGGGTAGTTCATTCAAGAACTGGATTTTGCTTAGTATTTCTTCTCTTTTAATTAATTTAACATTAATATTGTTTTTGCCTTTAATATATTTGCAATCTGTTTCAGAACCTGTACTTTCTAGGCAGGTGTTCTATGATTTGAGTCATGCCCAGGTACTTTTTTGCTTTAGCTATTTTTCAGATAGGGTCTTAGATTTGTCCTGGGACAGCCTTGGACTATGATCCTGGATCACAGGTGTATACCAGCATGCCTAGCTTATTCGAGATGGGATCTTGATAACCTTCTGGCTAGACTATTAGAAATAGGCAGCCACTATTTCTAATTCACTGCTGTATCTTAACATAGGTTGTCAAATAAAAGATGTATTCAAAACATACCTGTGGAATGGAGGAATGTCTTCCTTACACGTGTCTGCCCTTTTTGCTTAGTTTATATTGTTAAACTATGTATGATTAACTTACAAAAGCAACTGTTTCATCACTACATGGACTTATCCTTCAGTTCCTCACCCTTTCTTTTCTCCTCACCCATTCATTAACCCAATTTCCCACCAAAATTTTGTCATTTCATATGGCACCAGTGACTAATCCTAGCTACTCACGAGGTTGAGATCAGGAGGATCACAGATTGAGGCGAGCATTAGCAACTAGTTCATGATACCTCGTCTTCCAAGTAACCACAGTAAAGTAGACTGGAGGTGTGAGTCAAGCAGTAGAGTGCCTGCTTTGCTAGCATGAAGCCCTATGTTCAAATTCCAGTCCAATGAAAAGAAAAATTGTCATTTCAGGAATGTTATATAAGTGAAATCTTGTTGTAAATAATGTTGCTTTTTTCACTATATATACTTACATGTATCAATAGTCCTTTGCTTTTCATTGCTTAGTACTTCTTTGTATGCTAATGAAAAAGTATTTAATCATTCATCCACTGTAAATATCTGTTTGTTAACAGATGTTTGCGACTATAAATAAGGCTGTTATGAACATTCATGTGTAAGTTTTTGTGTAAACATAAACTGTTTATTCTGTGCAATTAATGCCCAAGGAGGTAAAACAGGGTTGTATGGTGGTTGCATGTTCAGTTTAAAAGAAACAGTTGGAGTCACGACAGGAGTCACAATGGTAGAATAGGAGGCCCTGGACTCTTTTTCTAAAATGGACACATCAACCTCACTGTATTTGCTTCTTGAACAGGGTAATTTCCTCTGCTTTCTTTACTGGGCTACTTATAGGTCTCTGCTGAGTGAGCTTCATCTGGTCCCATCAGGTCCCTTTCATGATGTGCTAATGGGATGAAACAACTGTTTCTCTTCTCTCTGAAGAGGCACTGATACTTAGTATATGTAAACCCAGTCAATAGTCAGTCAGAACAGTTTCTAGTCAGCATTCTACATTTGGATGAAAATGCTGGACCTGAAGAAAAAGGCGTCAGGCATTCTCTAGATCTCAGCTTCCCCAAAAGACGTTCAGTGACAGTGTTCATAGTATTTACTTAGGAAGATACAAATTAATAATTTGACATCTTTGTCTGAATCATAGATTTCATTTTTCATAACAGGCCTATCAAGGATCACCCATATAGATCTTGAAACTGAGAAAGTTTAATTAGTATTCTGTTAAATTTTGAAAAATCATAAATTAGCACAAACCAGTGGTGTTATGGTCTGAGTGTTTGTGTCACCTCAAATTCATATATTGAAATCCTAACCCTAAAGTGATGGTGTTGAAAGGTGAGGTCTTCAGGAGGTGAAGAGGTTATGAGGGGAAAACTCATAACTGGGATTGGTACCTTTGTAAAAGTGGTCCCCAGAAGCTCCATTGTTCCATCTTTGAGGACACAGCTAGAAGGTGCCATCTAAGAATCAAATGCCACCAAGACTGCTGTTGCACTGCTCATGGACTTTGAGCCTCCTGAACTGTGAGAAATGTTTATAAACTACCTAGCATATGATATTTTGTTACAGCAGCCTGAATGGAATAGACAATTAGTTTAAATACAGCATAAATTGTTATATAGTTAGGAAAGGCCACAGGTTCAAAATGGATATTCCTGGGCTAAAATCAGCATATAGGGTTATGTTCTCTGGAAGGTCTGTGGCAGAACCTGTTTCCTGGCATTCACAGTCTGTAGAAGCCACTTGTTTGTGTATGGGTATGGCCACTGGCTCTTTCTTCAAAGCCAACAGTACAGAATCTTCAGATTTTTCTGGCTATGATACTCCTGCCTTCTCTTATAAGGAACCCCATGATTAGATCAAACTACTTGGTTAATCTAGAACAATCTCTCCATTTCTGTGAAGTCTCTTTTCCTATGTAAGATAACATATTGACATATTTGGGAGATGACGATGAGGATGCCTTTGAAAGTCATTATTCTCTTTCTACATATGTGCAAAGTTAAATCATCTTTGACCTACAAGCATCACACCTGAGTTGGCCTTGCTTTGTTTCAAAGTCTGTCTAATTTGAATAACAATATACCACCTTGTTACTAGAGTTTGAATTCAGGATTTTACACTTACTAGGCAGACACTCAACTTGAACCATGCCAGCAGGTTCAGTGCCTGTTATATTCTTCCCTCTTTCAGTATCTCCACCATCCATCTTGTCTTCAAAGGCGAAGAGCCCAAGTATAGTGGGACAGAGGTCAAATGGGAGTAAATAATTTCTATGAGTTTTACTTTATACATCTTTCTGTTGATCAACTATTCTAAATAAAGAATCTTACATTCCCTTTCCATCAGTTGATGTGTTCACTTCTGTGGAGTGGTAACAGCTGCTTTGAAGTAGCACTTTCCTTTCCATTTATGTCCAATTAGTCACCAATTTCTGCTTCCTAAATATATTCTTATTTTTCTTTTGTAGTGCTATGGTTTGAACTCAAGACCTACACCTTGAGTTACTCTCCCAGCCCATTTTTTGATGGTGTTTTTGAGATAGGGTCTCACGAACTATTTCCTTGGGGCTGGCCTGGAATAATGATCCTCCAGATCTCTGACTCCTGAGTAGCTAGGATTATAGCTATGAGGCACCAGAGCCTGGTTTGTAGCTTTAACTTTTAAAAAATGAAACAAATCCCTTTCATAAGTAAAATTAAATCTACTCCCTATGTATACTCCCTCCCTCCCCTCTCCCTTAAGACAAGGGAATACATGGCACAGTAGCTTATAGATTGGATTGAACATGTGGTTGACTGGTACAGTGCTTCCTGCCATGTACAAGGCTCTGGATTCAATCTTCAGCACTGCAAGAACAAGCACAACCTTGCTTTCATAAGAATGCATAAAGAGTTAAACAGTATGACATAGTTGAGAAGTAGTGGAATTCACAAAGTTGTCTATAAAGCCTTTGTGAAAATTAGAAACTTATTTTCCTGCTTAATCTTTTCATAATTTGTTTTCTAGCCATCTTAAATTTTTGACAGTTTCCCAAGTATACTACATATTTTCTTCTCTCTGAACCTAACTGAAAGCAGTTTCCCTCAACAGGAAGACTTCCTTTCAAATCAAATGCCTTCCATTGTCATTCAGCTAACTTGCTCATTCTTCAGTGCTTTCACAATAAATTCTACTGTGTTTCACAGCTTATTAAAATGAATCATACTTATTCTTCAGGTTCACGATAAGTTCTTTTAAAAAGTAAATTTTATTTTTTTTCTTAAACTCAGGACACACTTGCTTAACAGTTGAAAGAAAAAAGATTTTGAAAGTAAGTGTGAAATGATAAATGAGTGTCCACACCATTACGACTCCATAAACTCTTTTTCAGCTTAGTTTTCTCAGAATGAATAACTGATATAGCTATGTAGAGATTTATACTAGAAGACTGTGTGGCTCTATGTGTCATATAATGAATACTTGACCTTTGTTTTTTGGTTCCTCAAAAACGTTGATGTTCATAAAGATGTTTCCAAAGTGATCATTTAGTTGTGAACTCTGTCATTTAGTTGTTTTAGACATCACTTAGTCGCTTAGATGCACAGAGAACATCTGAAAATTAAAAGTACTGTTATGAGCCTCTTCAGCTAATTTTGCCAATTAAATGACATCTTTTTAAACTCTTAAATGTGTCTGTATTGTAGTAAGTAAAGATAAACTACAGTTTTGTGTGGTCATGCCATGCCAGCACTATACACATAATATCACTAGTTCTGCCACCAGTGTGGGAATTCCAAGGTGGAGTGAAATTCATGATTCAGGATGATCATGGTTGGAGGCCAGCCCAGACAAGTAGACCCTATCTCAAAATACCTTACACACAAAAAAAAGGAGGACTTGTGGAGTGGCTCAAAATATAGAGTGCCTTCCTAGCAAGTGCAAGACCCTGAGTTCAAGCGCCACTAATGCCAAAAAAGAAAAAAATCGGCTTTGTGGATATTCTTGGGCTGAGTAGTTTAAGAAGACCCTCATCCAGAATGGATTAAGAAAATGTGGTATCTATACACAATGGAATTTCATGCAGCCATGAAGAAGAACAAAATGTTATCATTTGCTGGTAAATGGATGGAATTGGAGAACATCATTCTGAGTGAGGTTAGCCTGGCCCAAAAGACCAAAAATTATATGTTCTCCCTCATATGTGGACATTAGATCAAGGACAAACACAACAAGGGGATTGGACTTTGAGCACATGATAAAAGCGAGAGCACACAAGGTAGGGGTGGGGATAGATAAAAAATTAGCTAGCATTTGTTGCCCTTAATGCAGAGAAACTAAAGCAGATACCTTAAAAGCAACTGAGGCCAATAGGAAAAGGGGACCAGGAACTAGAGAAAAGGTTAGATCAAAAAGAATTAACCTAGAAGGTAACACCCACGCACAGGAAATCAATGTGAGTCAATTTCCTGTATAGCTATCCTTATCTCAACCAGCAAAAACCCTTGTTCCTTCCAATTATTGCTTATACTCTCTGTACAACAAAATTAGAAATAAGGGCAAAATAGTTTCTGCTGGGTATTGAGGGGGGGAGAGGGAGGGGGCAGAGTGGGTGGTAAGGGAGGGGGTGGGAGCAGGGGGGAGACATGACCAAGCCTTGTATGCACATATGAATAATAAAATAAAAAAAAAGAAGACCCTCATCCAGAAGATTCAGAGTCCTTGTGTCACCTGAACAGAGAACTGGACATGCAAATTGAAAAACAGTTGCAAAGTTTAATTGAAATAAAAGGAAAGAGTAAGAGGGAAGCACTGCAAGGGAATCAGTGTGCTGTTGCCAAGTGGCACAGAAGCATTGATTTCTTTGTTTAAGCCAATTTATAAGTTGCAAGGCAGTAAAAATCTGGACAGCTCTTAGAGAGGGGCTAGGGTAGCTGGCAGGTTTACCAAACACAGCTTATTACATAGCATGGGATATTCTATGTATGTGCTTATGCTAATTTTTAGACCTGTAATTGTACGTACAATATGGCCCAATATTCCTAAGGTCCAAAATAAAAGACTTGTCCTGGGAGGTCAAATAGGAAGAAGGCTTCCTTTTTACCATAAGTGTGATATTCAGAATTTTATTAAAGCCAGGCTCT